TTGGTCTTATGTTTTCTCACACGATGAATTTTAAAAAAGTGTTCTTTATTTGCAATCACGTGCAAAGAAGGCTTTCATAAATGTTATGTCTGTTTCTCAGAATATAGGTGCCTTCACTCCAAACATATTTTTCAAACTATTTGATTCACAAATTCAACCGATTATGCTTTATGGGTCAGAAGTTTGGGGGTTTCAGCGTCAAGAATGTCTTGAGAAACTTCATCTCTTAGCTTGTAAAAGATTTCTAAATGTTGGACAAGCAACGCCAAATTGTATGGTTTATGGGGAATGTGGGAGATATCCAGTTTATATAAATTCACAAATCAGATGTTTGAAGTATTGGCTTAAGATTCTGGAAATGCATGAACAACGAATACCTAAAATAGCTTATAATATGCTTGTTCATCTTGATAGCATGGGCAAGACAACTTGGGCTTCACATATTAGAAATCTTTTATTTTCTCATGGCCTTAGATTTGCCTGGTTAAATCAGACAGTGGGTAATGTAACTCTGTTTCTTAAACGTTTCCGAGAACAGTCAATTAATATGTTCCATCAAGAATGGCATTCGACTCTCGAAAATAGTTCAAGGTATGATCTATATAGGTCCTTTAAGAGCCTTATCCAACCAGAAATATATTTATCTGTATTGACATCAAGAAATATCAGACGCACATTTGTTCAGCTCCGACTAGGTTTATTAGATTTAAGTATTAATAAAGGTAGAAGATTGTCTATAGACAGAAATATGAGAATTTGTCCATTATGCACTTCATCTATTGAAGATGAAATTCATTTTATATTTGTATGTCCATATTATGATGACCTTAGAAGAGAATATATTTCAAGTAATTATCTATCAAAATATCCAACAATAGCCTTTGTCTCGATTCTCACTTCCAGAAATGAAACTGTTATCCGCAACCTTTCTCTATTTGTAAAACATGCTGTTGTCTTGAGAAATGATAGGATATCTAAGCAATAACCATTATAATTGCCATTGTCTTATGTACTGTAGTTATGTATATGTATGTAACTCCTTGTATATGGGCCGGAGGCCTTGAATACAATAAACTTGACCTGACTACCAGATTGCAGTGATACATTTATGAGATTAGTAATAAATGAAAGCAAAGGCTCAACACATTCCAGAAGAAGCGTTTTATTTATATTTTCTTACTTGTAATAAAAACTAATTCATAATGAGCTAGCGATGTGTAAAGGTGTGTGTTGTAAGTAAAGATTAATGCACATTATATTCGGTGATTTACCGATTGCTTGATTGAACATGTGATTGACTTAACAATATGGAATAAATGTTACCTCCATCCCGTGCCTGGTGGATTTTACACACGCACTACGCAATTCAAAGAAACGTGTGATTATAGATAAAATTTACCTTCAGCCAAGCAAGGCCAAAATTTCGTCTGCCTTCCAGGAGTAAACGTCAGGAGTACATTTAACGTATTTGGACCAATTCCAAGTTATGCCAAAATATAGTAAGCTATTGAGTGTTACATAATTTCCATTTTAAACTGAATTTATTATCAGATTTCCGTTTTCGTTCGGGTTTGACTTAAATTAAAAGATAATGTAAATCCGTTATACTACCTCTAATTTCAAGACATTATCCTATTCTAATACCAACTGCATATATAATGATTTTTTTGTTTTTGTCGGATACGTTGTGTATCACATCGAGTGAAGTCTGAAAACCGAAACAGACCATTTTCATCGGGCTATTGTCTCTATGACTGTATCACATTACAGAATGCACTCAAACAGCGACACAACAAGTTGACACATGACGCCAGTGTCTGCTGGCATATTAGATCTACTTTAATTCTGTTCAAATTAATACGGATAATAAACTTTTTTCGTTTCTTTTTCGTATTCAATTCTATACATTATTACTGAATAGAATTTAGATTCGAGCACCGTAACTAATGTTCAGAGAGAAGTTTAGGGATAGTGTCAGGCAAGTCAGTCAAGGCTTGAATAAAGTCATTATCAAAGGGAAGCAACTGTCGTTTTGTGCCATAATCAGACGAAGCTCGCTCCAATCACGGGAATTGTTACATGATCTGTTCGCTTCAATGCACCAATCAAGCTTTCTCTTTCAAACGTGTGGTTATTGTCCTTGACGACATGGCGGATTAAAAGATGACTGTCAAATGTAACGGTGAAATGTTGCACCAAATGTAAGTGTGCCCGGGCGCCATTTATTCTCCGTGTTGAGCGATCGCTGTGACATACGTAGAATATTCAAAGCCAATGCCATTATCAATACACATGTGCCATATGTAGCAGGGTTTCATACACGTCAGTTGGTGGGCACCTGCTTTACTGTCGTACAGTGGTACATTAATTAAGTCAAGATCATCTCTGGCACATTTCCGATGTTGTTAGGGGGTAAGACACGGGGTATTTGCAAGAGCGGCTGGGAGAAACAATTGTTAATAACTACTTTAAAAAAATGCAAAACTGAATAGTAAAACATATTTTCGCACACGCACACACAGTGAGGATGGATACAGTCGATTTCACTTTGTCATAAATGTCTTACTGTTCGACGTTTTTTCTGAAATGTTTACAATTATATTGTTGGGCAATGCTACAACTTTACATTGTGTTTGCCTCTTATGAACACAATAATTGTAAGGTTTACAAATCATCCATGACATTATCATCCTAGAGGTATTAGGAATCATTTTACATTTCTACATTGGAATTTGAAGAAATATGAGAGAGGCGTATTTGATCATTCAATAATCTTAAGCACCAGTTACACTTAAGTCTGTCCCAAATTTTAATTATGTTTGTATGCTTATCTCTGCATATTGATAAAACTCTAGCCTACAGACTTCATGTCAACCTCAACCCAAGAGTTGGGTTAGGTTTGTATGATTATTGAAAAGCATATAGTAAATATGCAGCAAGAATGTTCCAAAGAATTGTCAGTCAGCATTTTTTCTGTTTATATATATTTGACTAAATATGTTAAACCATGCATTCCTTTAAGCCACCATCAAACAGGAACATGCGTACTATATCCAGGGCTCCAGATAAGGGTCGTATCGGTATATGTACGGATAAAAAATATGCATGATACGATAGGAAATATTTTGGAAAATGTAGCAGATATGCACCATAGCAATGGTGTACGGTCTTAGAATCATTTACAGTCGTATTTATCTGAAAAAGAATTTTTTTATTGTTCATTGACCTGTTTACACAAGAGTAGCAATGTTGTGGTGCATATATGAAACGAAACACAAGATTACTGATACTCCATTAAATTCCATTCAGTACTCTAAATGTACTCTTCAAGTTTTCCAGTACTCTTATATTAAAAAAATAAGGAGTACATACTCCTGATGTTGAAAAATTATCTGGAGCCCTGATATCCTTCTGGAAATGACTCCATACCCTTGCCTTTAAAGTACCTTGAGAAATAAATGTAATTTGTTACCATGACCCATCAGAAATCAGCCTTCAAAGGATCGGTTCATGACTTAGATTTGTTTCCAGAGATCAAAGAGTTCATATCTTAGTTCAAATGATGCAATTGACATCAAACTGATAATAGTTTCATGGCAGCTACCTTTCTTTTCCTTTTCTGGTGTTTTCCTTACACAATATAGTTGTTGCAAAGGAAAGTATGAACTGTCAAGTACATTTTCAGATTACTGAAGGGTTACTTATTAGATAATTACATTTTTGTCAGGGAATGTGGGTCAGGGATAGTGCAGGACTTATGGCAAATATTTGTTATGCTGTGACTTGACCCGTCCCAAAGTATTACTAAAGGTCAATTTGAGATGTGAGCTTTCCTGCAAAAAATATAAATTGGTCATATGACCCTTTCGAATATATGTATTGTTACGTATGATTCCTCACCATTCATAATTTATGGCAAGGGGGGTGAAATATGGGAAAAGGGGTGTGTGGTGAGGAGGTCATCGATTTTGTACATGACAAGCAAGGGGGTCACTTACTTTGTGCATAAATGTTAGGGGGGGTCATTTACATTGTACATGCTTCTCCATAAAAATCATCATCAACCCCCCTAGCCATACATTATGAACAAACCCTAAGTAACAGTTAAAAACTGCATTAATCAAGTTGAGGTGAAGTTGCAGTGAAGGTATTACAGCTACAATAGTATTGACATAGTAAGACAAGCAACTTTTCATTCCTATAAAGTCCAGACTTCCTCATACTGATAGTTGTGAGCAGAGGTTGTTATGGATGAGCGAAGTATGTCGGATGTTCATATCATCACTGGATACTCATATGGAACCATCAATGTTATTTTTAATACACACAAATGGAAAATTTGATAGAAACATTTCTATTGTATAATTCTGTTGATGCTGCCAATTGTTTTGCGTGCCATAAATGTTAGCTATATTGACAGTTTAACTTGTCCTTGATGTAATTCCATCTGAGTCTTGTGAGATGCCGTAATAGATAATCAGTTCAAGCTCTGCAACACTATTCCATACTCATCCCTTTGCAGCCCTACAGGAATAGAGATATTTCAGGATTCCATGATACTCAAGGGTTCATTTTCAGATGTAATTATTTTAATCCTGCAGGTCTAACCTGTTGACTTCATCCAGCCAAACCCCATTACTAGCCCTTCCCTGACAACCCCCACCCCCACCCCCACCCTCCCAATCTTCTCTCACAGAAACCCTACCACTGATCCCAGTCACAGTTATCCTGTCTCACATTCCCTCCACAAAATGTATTTCCATTCTGCCCAGCTCATTCAGTAATGCAGAAGTTTTAAATTAAGTAAGTCTATATTTTCCTCAGGTTCTGAATCTCCCACCTCATTGGGAGGAACCCTCCTTTACATTGTTTTACATAGTTTTTAAATGTCTATGAAAATTATAAACTTTCAGAGACTAAGTTTAAGTCTACCTCCCAGTGAGTGGCTACATGTAGCCGCTGTTAACAGTTCCCCTACAGCCTCCCCTTCCCAGATGCCCAGCCCCAGCCACAGACTCCACTGCCATCTTGCTTCAGCCAGATACAGATCAGGTTACGCTGCTACTCTTACAGTTTACTCCACCATTTTGGTTACCCATTGTCTGTGTCCCTCCGAGTTTTCTCCACCTCGCAGCTCTCCCTGCCTCAGTGACAGTGTTATAGTACTCACACATTCAAAACTGTGTTCTATATTCTTTATGAAATGAATATTTGGAATCAGTCATATTTGGACAACTTTGTGAAGAAGACTCAGTTCTGTCAAAAGGAAACTTGACAGTTGCATATTGTACATTTTGATTTCATGATAACACAAAGGTTCAGAAGTCAGACACAAAAATTATCATGCAGATTGTGTATTAATTCGAGAAACAAACTGGACATTGAGTACTACTGTGAGGGGGTTTAGGGATGTGCTCAAGCAAGGATGTTGTCAGAAGACAGTGGCCACTCCCTGTATGGGCCTGTGGGGTGGGGCATATCCTAGGTGTTGTGTATGTGTTGTGTCACCCCCAGGGTCCTTCACACCTACAGGGAGGAGACTAGTAGGGTAGGTACCCACCATTCTGTATTTGCTTGTCCAGTATGTACCCTCCAAATCCTGTCTTTTGTTCCTAGGTAAGATCCTCATTTTACAGATTTAAATGTTTACAATCATTATCACAAGACAGCACAAACATGCTGCCCAAGCAAAGATCTACTTGCACAGTGTCTTCACGTTGTTTTCTGTAGATTGTATTTGTTAGTATATATTTGGTTACTGTAGATTACCAGACTGAACATGATTGCAGCTCCTGCTTCAGACCGGTGGCTAAAGTTATAGACTTCATATACCAATATCCATAGTGGGAACTGTGTTAATTCACTCCAGTTATTGTTCATTCCAAGTCAGCAGTTCATCTGAGGTCTGACCAGGTTCTTAAAGATATTGGACAATATTGTACATCAAAATAAAATTACCATAATCAAGGAATGATGTGTCAGAATCTATTCTGACTGAGATTCAGTATAATAGGTTTTTTATTAACATGATTTATATATAGCGTCTTGTCACAAGTGATGAAAAGTTGTAGTACATGTATATTTCTGAGGTTTGTTTCATAATTTGATAAAGCTTGCACTTTTTACACAGGAAACACTATCTACGTTTACAATAACAATCTGAACACTTCCAGGTTATTCTTTTTTGTCAGTTTCTCAAATATTTTCAAACAGGTAAAATGCTTTTTTTCTTTCTTTGTACTCCTTCCCATGTGTGTATCAAATCTTTGCTGTATCAGGTGAGAAGATTGATCCAGATGAATGTTTCAGTGTAATCCAAGATTTGATGGCTGAGGTGGTAGTGTTATGTTTCAGTGTAGACTAACAACCCAGATAGCATTCGGATGTTGGCCCAACGTTGGCAATGTTCGCAAAACCATTGCCAACGTTGGGCCAACGTCTGAATGCTATCTTGGAACTAGTCTCTGAAATGAACATATTTTACCTAAAAAAGTTCATAGTAAAAAAAATATAATATAATGAAAAGGAGCCCTGAGACTTTCTTCATTTTCAGATTTGATGGCTGAGGTGGTAACGTTATGTTTCAGTGTAATCCAAGATTTTATGACTGTGGTGGTAACATTATGTTTCAGTGTAATCCAAGACTTTATGACTGTGGTGGTAACATTATGTTTCAGTGTAATCCGAGATTTGATGGCTGAGGTGGTAACGTTATGTTTCAGTGTAATCCAAGACTTTATGACTGTGGTGGTAGTGTTATGTTTCAGTGTAATCCAAGACTTGATGACTGAGGTGGTAGCGTTATGTTTCAGGTGTCTGTAGGGGAGATGACAGCCGTGGCCGGCCCCTCCAGTCATGCATTGTCACAGGTAAATGTACAAGCATTCAGATCAAATCCTCTGTACACTATACTTGCCATATGGTGATGAAGTAGTTTGGTGCTCATGTTGTCAACCACTGGTATGCTTCTAAAGCCAAATTAAGTTATCAGTTAGCCTTGATATTTTTCATGCAGTTGCAACACAGATGGAGAGGTTTGGTTGCACTACTGATCAATGCTCTCTGTGAAGTAGTGTATTGAACTCCCTGTGAAATTCTGCTGTATCTGCCAGGTGGAGACCCCGAAGAGCCCTTTTGCAAATGGTAATGGCCGACTGGAGAGCATCACCCAGCTACATGCAGCTGCTGTCAATGGCGACAAGCCCACCCTCACAAGGCTTGTTGCAGGTATGGGATATTCAGTCATTTATTGGCAGATAGTAGTCGGGAACCAGCTTAGCCATAAGCGAGCAGATGAAAAACGCCTGGATGAGTACCGCAGGAAAGTAAAGGGAAATAACTCTACTCACCTACACTATGCTTGAGCGAAAACTTTTAGAGTAATTGCCCTTGTTACAATTGACCCGTGTTACGATTGACCCGGTCTCCCCTACACCTGTAAAAAAGATTTGGTTCCCCCATAGTAGGAGTTGCTTTTTGTTGTTGTTTTTTGGCGGGGGATGGGGGTGGGGTGGGTGGTGGGGTTTGAAAGGATTCAAACCTACGGTATTTGTTCCATGTGGAACAAATCTTGTGGCTATCAAGCAGCATTTATCATGTGTGAAAGTTCCTCATAAAAGGACTCAATATAGTATTGTCGTCAGTGGCTCCATTTGTCTTTTTTTGTGGGAATTGGTTTCATCTTTTGTTATGGCTATACTCAAATTGCCCAAACTGCCATTAGATATGGTTCACCTTTCTTTAAAAATCTGTGCATCTATTTCAAATTATTATTTCAAAGATGTATGTATAATATCTACATGTCGGGTGATAAGGGTCCTGATCGAAATCCGGACAATACCGAAGAGTTGTTCAAATATCGATTTATTTTAATTTGATCTACAGTTTTGGTAAACGTACAGTGATCAATATGGCACATTCTGATGGTTGCTAATTTTCTGGTCACAAGTTATGACAAGCTTCAATGGAGCAGACTTATCCTTGATCTCGTCCGATACATAGTACACTGAGCAGTGTTTTCCTCTGCCTCCATAATCGGTCTGATCGATCTCTGATGTATTTATAAGTATGACCTATATATATATATAACATATCTTATATGTTATATATATATAGGTCATACTTATAAATACATCAGAGTCGGGCGCTTATGTATTGCACCTCCCTGCTGTGTGTGGCAAATGGCCACTCGTTGATTTGATTTTCACCTAGATCTAACGTGATTCACGTGTATTTCGGGCTTGAGAAATCCCGGATGTTGACAAGTTGGACGAGTCTATTTTGCATTCAATAATGATTGGAATAGGTTAGGCCTACAGTATTTGTTCCTGTTCGATGGAATATTTGCCGTATGTGCGGAATTTATATTCGTGTCATCCATTTTCTATTTCACGGCATTTATTCCGAACCGGAACATTTACTACTTGGAACTAAATCATGTTTACACATGTAGCACAGTACACGATGTAGTTTGCCGAAGCCTTGCGTACAACGGTTCTGTCTTGTTTCACATGGACCTCTAGATCGTGACAGATTCTTCACCTGCCCAGTCATGCTGTGTTTGCGAATGAGCCGGCTGATGACTGCATGTGTTTCTGTTTTTCCCTCTGTGACAGGCTTTGGGTGTCGAGGCTGTGATAATGAAATTAAATAAGTATTTGTTTTTACAGTTTCTCCATTTCTCTTTGATGTGAACCGTTTAACATGAGTGACAGTTTGATTTTGTAATTCTGCAACCCGATTCGATTTCACACATATCAGCTAGCCAGCGGTCTGTCTCTCAAAATGCCTTTACCGCTGTTCAGAGACTTGTGTGGTGAAACGGAAACTGCAGCATTCATAAGATGTTTCGTGACTAGACCCTTGAAGATCCGGGTTAGAATTGAATTTCAGTAACCCATGTGTCGTATCCCAATTGCGTAGATCGATGCTCATGCTGTTGATCACTGGATTGTCTGGCTCAGTCTCGATAATTTACAGACCGCCGCCATATAGCTGGAATATTGCTGAGTGCGGCGTAAAACTAAACTTACTCACCCACTGTTTTGTGACTAAGAGGCTAGCTGATTGCTCTAGACTTTGAGGAGAAATCCAGATCTAATCTTTTTAACAGCTTGAACATCACCAATAATGTCATGAATAGCTTTAGATGTGGCAAACGGATTTATGCGGTGCTCCATCAGTTGAAGATACCACCCAAAACTCTGCTCTGTGTATCCGAGATCTGTTTGTGGTACTGCGCTCATCAAAGGACAACACTCATCCAGTGCTGTATGTTTTTTCGGGTTGAACCATGGTTGATACGAGAAGGGTCACCATCTCAGCTCCCCACCCACCACGGAGTATCACAAGGGCAATGCTATATGCCAGTGGATCTCCGACTGGCAAGACCAACGATACTTAGATGGTATACTCCAGTAGAAGACATAAGTGAAAATTATTCAGTCCACCAGACTGGCCCCTGAGCCACCTCCTTCTGGACAGAAGACTCCATGCAAATGTCGTAGCAACACATTACAAAATCAAGAGGTGTTAAATGAACAAACGTTGCCAAGGCCAAAAAAGAAACGACAATTTCAAATCATATTTTGTGCAGTTGCACACAATCAATACAGAGCGCATGGCATGACAGCCGACTGATAGAACCGGACCCAATCTACCACCCGTCTAGGTGAAGTAAAGGTCGAAGTGGTGTGTTGGGCACCAGAACACCTTCCTCCACTGAGGAACCACGGCAAACAGGCTGCCCAGACAGTCGCCTTTACCAGATCCTTGTGTAATGTTAATTCAAGACAATAATGACATATTTGTATATGTGTCAAAAATAGATAACACAGGTAATGAAATTGTCGATATGGAACATCTTTAAACTGGCAAACCAACTCGAGCAATTTGTTTTAATATCGACCGTCAGGTATGCTCTGTTTGAGGAGTTGCCCTGTCACCTTTGTTAAAGCAAATGATCGAATTCCATTACAGATAGAAGAGCTTTTACTAGCCTGTTTACACTATCTTAAACAAAACGCCAAGCAATTGTAAACAGGTCATTCACCACTGAGACCAATGTAAATGTTTTTATTTCTTTGTACAAATATCGATGAACACAGCAAACGGGACTATTATCCATAACTATTACTTGCAGAATGTGTCGATTATTCACATGTTGCCTGTAGGTTTACACACCTTATGAATTGCCGTGCGTTCGAACGTATATTTATACAACCGACCTAAAAATAGAGGAAATTAGTGATGGCGATAGTGAAGGTGTAATGAACGTAAATATACAGTTAATTCCTTGTGGTTTGTGTGGTGTGTTCCCTATGTAGGGAAGACACATTGATAACACACTCTTAATTTGCGGTTGGTTGTCCTTGGATTTGCTCTCCATTTCGACCGGAACACCACTTCAAGCTGTACAATGGGAATTTGTTAATCACCTCACCACTCATTTATAGGGGCGGTGGGGTAGCCTAATGGTTAAAGCGTTGGCTCATCACACCGATGACCAGGTTCGATTCCCCACATAGGTACAATGTGTGAAGCCAATTTCTAGTGACACCCGCTGAGATATTGCTGGAATATTGCTAAAAGCGTAAAACTAAACTCACTCACTCATGTATGTATATATATTTGGAAAATATCGACATCATCCCATTCAGTGGTTTTTCAGTCACATAAGCGTGGGCAACTATAGATTAACTCAAACTCGGTTGATAAACAACTCTCGTGGCGAACTGTCTGCCTAGCCATTAGCTGCGACACCTCCCGAAAGTCGTATCCTGTGCATTTGTCACAGAACAAAAACGTGCATTTGTCACAGAACAATACTGTATTGGTGTAACCCGCGGTTACTTTTTCACGAGGTGTCAAGGAGGTATAATTTTTTATAGGGACTATATCAAGCTTGGCAAATGTATAGTATCACTTCTCAGTTTTAACTGTGGACTGAAACCGTGTCCGTGGGAGCAAGTGATTATCTATCGTTGACTAAGCACACGCGACTGTGAATCACCAGAATCACATGGACATGCCAGCATTCACAATACTGACAGCTTCAGTCCGCATTAAGAGGCAATTGATCAACGTGTAACACCTAGTCCAGAAACTCCATGGACGCTACCTAGTGAATGTAGTATACATTGACTATTATTGACAACACTGACATCGATCTCATCTCACGATACTGATTAAATGGTTTGTTCCATGATTCCTGACTCTTGTTGATGGGTGCGTGCTGGGTGCGTGCTTACTGCGTGAGAACCCTCCCATGTGCCTGGACGCTGAAGACGCGGCTTGGCGTTTGGCTAATCATGGCTTCTACAACATTCTTAGCTGTAGTCTTCTCAGGGGTAAGTCTGATAAAAGGTTAGTACGGAGATATTATTCAAAGTATATTCGACAAAAGCATAATGTTTACTTATGTTAAGATGTACATTGTTAGACAGACGTGTGGCTATAACAATGGATACTAGTAGTTTCCTTCCTATTACCTAATGCGGTTCACTGATATATTGGTCTTGGTAATTTATCAACCATTAAAAATATCCATTTCAGTGTTTGAGCAAGTATGGCTTTTGTTATTGAAAATATTTGACAGATATGTTTTTTCAATCAGATACGACAATAATTAAACAGGCTCACACGACTTTTGAGTATGTGTTTCGTGACAGTATTTCGGTCATGATAGTTCTGGGATTGTGAGTTCCTGCTTATGTGCTTACACTGGAAGCACATTAGTGTGATAAATAACCTCTTCACCCCGACCATCTGAGAATATAAGGAATGACCATTCTTGGGATTTTAAGGGACTTCTGAGAAAATATAAATGAAAGTAAAAGACCAAACATAAGGTAAAAAGGGCATCTTAGGTCACAGACTGGCTTATTGGCTCATGGGTACTTTTATTCATTGCACAGTTTGAAAACTCGATTCTTTCATAGTGGTAGCCATACTTGTCAACTTATCGTATCATATTGTCTGACATATGAATCTATAATTTCCATAACAATGTTTCAAAGGCGGCCTTCTACATTATTCCTGTTGTATATAGTATGTTGCGCATCTGACCAGCAGTGTAGGTTATACATATGCTGAATAATACTGACAAATGAACTGATTGTATCCATACATCTAGTACGTAAGATCAATACATCACGCCAGTTTCATAACGTTATGTTATCCACCTGCCAAACTAGTTCTGGTGAGTGAGTAAGTGAGTTTTACTCCAG